AAAAAAAAAAAAAAAGTAAACAGGTTTGATACCCAAGATACTGCAAGGCAAGAAGACCAGGGGAAAAGGTGGTCATGGACCCTGTTGAAGACAAGAGACCAAGAAGTAGTAAATCCTCTATTTGAGAAAGGCAAATAACCTGGGCTTTGGTCAAAAATTCAGCCCAAAAGGAACTTTTCCACTTTTTCAGATGGCCCCATTATGACCATCTCCAGTGACAAAGATCTAGCCTCTCCAATGATCTACTTCACCTTGCCCTTAGAACATCAAACAAGCTGGTCTGCAATAGAGACCAGAGATAAAAGCCAGGAAAGCAGATGTTGTTGGCCCAGAAGAAAGCTGCTGGCCAATGGGATTCCTCCTAACCTTCAAGTGGGTGTTACATACTGCCACTACCTAAGTGGAGAACAGAATACTCAGCGTGAGGACTGCACATGACAGGAGTCCCATTGATCTATTTTTCTTCTTGCCCACCTTGTCCATAAAATCAGGGTTCCTTACTTCATCACGAAGGGAAAGGTCAGACTGGGCCATCTAGTCCACAGAAAGACGTGTACCAGCCTCACCTTCACACAGCTTAACTGGAAAGACAACAGCGCACTAGCTGAGCTGGTAGAGGTCATCAGAACTAATGACAATGATAGCTACAATGAGATCTGACATCACTGGGAGGCAAACTGGAAAAGAAAACGGCTCAAGAGCTCGCCACAAAACCAGTTTAAATGAACTGTTAACTTCTCTGTAAATAAAAACATCCCCTCAAAATAAAACATTGAGGCATTAGACCCAGGGAATAAAAACTAGAATGTAACTTCCTATCCTACCCCAAAAGAGATGAAATAAAATCACACAAAAAAAGAATCTTTGGAAGATTCTGGACCTCATTAAAAATTAATGTTGTTTAATTAGAAAATGTTGGGAAATCCACTGTTATGTTTTAACCAGGAGTCAGGCAGCAGCAGTAAACTTCTCATTCTGCATTATTGATCGTAACAGGAGTCAACTATTTGGACCAGATGACACGTCTGACTTTTGTCAGTATCACAAATCATTAAGAAAAACTTCTGTAGACACTATGGATGTTAGTGGATTATTGCTGGAGTTGTAAAAGAAACTTGTACTATCAGGATGATTTTAGCAGCAAGTACATATATGTGTATGTCAAATCCTCAAACCAACTCAAACTGGCTTTAAAAATAAAGAAATTTAGGGGCTGGCCCAGTGGCATAGTGGTTAAGTTCACACGCTCTGCTTTGGCTGCCTGGGGTTTGTGAGTTCAAATCCCTGGTGTGAACATATGCACTGCTCATCAAGCCATGCTGTGGCAGCATCCCATATACAAAATGGAGGAAGATGGGCACAGATGTTAGCTCGGGGCTAATCTTCCTCAGCAAAAAAAAAAAAAAAAAAAGAAATTTACTATCTCACATAAAGAGAAATTGGGAGGCAAGACAGTTCAAGGATTGGCTACTTTAGGGGCTCAACAATGTCATAAGGCACCCTATTCTTTCTATCCTCTGTGCTGCCAACCTCGGTACACTGCTTCTTGTCCTCATAATCATCCTCATGATCTTGTCCTCAAGGCTATGTCCCTCATCCATCTAACAACAGGTAGAAATTACCATTATTTATTACTAGGAATGGTCTAAGTGAGCTTCTCCTGCAGCACTGCCCCAAATGCACAAGCAGTCAGAAAGCAGTTGGAGAAAAGAGGAGCCTTAGACATGAGGTATAAGCAGTTCCTTTATTATAAATCATCAAAGTTGATAAAACTGGAAAAATAAACAAATACTCTCTTTAAACAAAAATTAAATACGGCTGCCCAAAATAACTATAACACAATGGCCAATAGTTAAGCTCTCTCTTCAAATATTAGCACTGTGTGTATACATCCTTCAACCTGGTAACTTTTTATAGAGTGTTTCATTTTTCCTAAAAGTATATTACATTAATCACAATTTGTTTAAATTATTCTGATATTACATCCATAACAATCATCTCCTAAATATTTAAATACCATTAGCAGATAACTTTGATCATTTGGGAAAATTTCCATTTCAACTCAATGAAAAATATCCATATATTTACATATTTCACTCCTCAGAGTGTGTCACCTCCAGATCTCTTGGAATGTTTTACTCTTTTCTACGAAAGTGTATGCGACTCATAAGTTCTCTGAACTTCAGTATTAAGGAGTAGTTTTCCATGTTGTCTTTCCATGCTTCATAAGTCCTTCTAAATTTGTCATAATAACTCTTTTTCAAGTTGAAATTTGATCCAATTTTTTTTAAATTACTGTCTTTTTTCCATATTTCTCTCCAGGAGCCTTTGAATTTTTCCAAATAACTTTCTTTTTCAGATTCTTCCTTCCATATTCCTTCTCCTTTTTTTAAGGCTGTTAATTCAGCTTTAAGTAAGTTTCTGTGAATTGTCCAATAGATTTTAGAATCATAATTTAGCCCTTGAACAAGAACAGTTTTGCCAAGGCCTCTTCTCAAAATTTCTTCATTCAGACTCACAGTAAGATATCTACCCTTGAATAAAAAATAACACAAACCAATTATTTAAGAAAATTGCTAGTATATCCATGACATCTATTCACTTTAAAATCAATCATTCAGCAGCTTTAGTCCTCCAGAGAAAAGCCAAAAATATAAAGCAAAAGGGTCCCCAAGAGCTTAAAACAGCTAATGCTAAATCCAAGAATTTCATTACTGGAAGAGATCCTTGCTCAAAGTCAATTGTCTCTTTTATAACATATAGTTCTCCACAGGCTCATTGGTCTCCTAACCCAAAGAGGCATAGAAGCATAAAGTACAAAAAGTGTTTTTTGGTTTGTTTGCTATTGTTTGGAGGGGGAATGGAGCACACAAAACAAGCAAAATGACAGGAGGCCACAGCAAAAGCAACTAAAAAAACTAAAAAGTAGACAAATGCAAAATGAACTGAATCATCACTGAACTGTTAAATTAGGTTGAGAATTCCAGTGTTTAGGAAGACACTGGCATGTAAATAATGTAAATACATTTTTAAAAGATTTCCCACAAAATAATTAACATAAAAGTACTTCTGGCCCTTGAATCTTCATCCTTCAGGAAATTTCATTCATGGAATATCTCACTCCCTAATGAAACGGATAAATGGGATTTTTTTCCCATTAATTTACAGCATAAAGGGGATCCTGCTTAGCTATTTCTATAGTCCTTGTGATATTTTAACCTAATAAGATTAATTTTAACAGGGCCGGCTCCGTGGCTTAGCGGTTGAGTGCTCACGCTCTGCTGCTGGCGGCCCGGGTTTGGATCCCGGGCACGCACCGATGCACCGCTTCTCCGGCCATGCTGGGGCCGCGTCCCACATGCAGCAACTAGAAGGATGTGCAACTATGACATACAACTATCTACTGGGGCTTTGGGGGGAAATAATAAATAAATAAAAATCTTTAAAAAAAAAGATTAATAAAGTTTTAATAATTTAATAGCTTCATTAGACAAGTAATTTACAGTTAAGTTCTAAAAATGCAAAAACTTTAGGTTTAAAGTAGGAGACATTTTCTAGCACTATTGAAAGGAACAAAGTAACCTTCGGTGCCTTTAAATGCAGTAACTTTTGGTACATGATGATAAGAGGTAAAGAAATATAGTTTTCAAAGGTTTATCATATTTTTCTCAATCTTAAATTTTAGGAGCTCATTCCGTTAAACCAAAATCAGGGGCCGGCCCCATGGCTTAGCGGTTAAGTGAGGGCGCTCCGCTACTGGCGGCCAGGGTTCGGATCCCAGGTGCGCACCAACGCACCGCTTCTCTGGCCATGCTGAGGCTGCGTCCCACGTACAGCAACTAGAAGGATGTGCAACTACGACATACAAATATCTACTGGGGCTTTGGGGAAAAAAAGGAAGAGGATTGGCAATAGATGTTAGCTCAGAGCCAGTCTTCCTCAGCAAAAAGAGGAGGATTAGGATGGATGTTAGCTCAGGGCTGATCTTCCTCACAAAAAAAATAAATAAATAAAATAAATTTAAAAAAACTGTTTCAAAATCAGAATAATTAAAATTCAACCTCACACATTGGTAAAATTTAACAGATGTAAATTACCACAATATGCATATAGTATAGTTTGGTCACCTTCTAGAAAACAATATGAGGTAAAGTATTTCAAGTGAAGTGTGGGCTCAGGAGCCAGGAGGAGCTGGGCATGAATACAGGCTCTTCCACTGTGTTACCCTGAGTCCCACCTGGAAACAGGAATAAAAACAATGACTCCATACGGTGGTTTTGAGGATAAATAAAACATGCTTCGCAACTTAAAAGAGAAGATAATATTTTTGGAAGGCCTTTGGTATCTTTTATATAATTCTGTATCATCAATTTACTTTTTAACGTAAGACGTTTCAACCAATCAGTGTTGGATAATTCTTATGTTGAAAGAACTGACTATGATCTGGACATGCAAAAATTAATGGATTTCATTAGGCTTTCTATTAATAATTCAAAAAGCTTTTTTTGTGTGTGTGTGAGGAAGATCAGCCCTGAGCTAACATCCATGCCAATCCTCCTCTTTTTGCTGAGGAAGACCAGCTCTGCGCTAACATCTATTGCCAATCCTCCTCCTTTTTTCCTCTAAAGCCCCAGTAGATAGTTGTATGTCATAGTTGTGCATCCTTCTAGTTGCTGTATGTGGGATGCCACCCCAGCATGGCTGGAGAAGCGGTGTGTTGGTGCGTGCCCGGGATCTGAACCCTGGCCACCAGTAGCAGAGCGCGTGCACTTAATCACTAAGCCATGGGGCCGGCCCCCTCAAAAAGCTTTTAAGAATTAAAATGGTTACAATTCTAATCACTTTAATGTGAAGTTATTTTTTTCTTCAGATTATTCTTGTTTGTTATTTAATAAGGAACTTTAAGAAAAACTACTCTTAATCCTGTCATAATATTTCAACTATTTCATTTTTCCGTATTTTTTTTCAGTAATTGCCCACCAAAACAAATTTGGAATAAAGCACATCCAAGGACTCAGGACAGTGACACGGCAACACTGATGCGTTCCCAGGTACACAAAGGCTATGTAAAGGTAAGAAAACTCTGAGACAATGTCTTCAGATGACCCACTACTGATCATAAATAGTATTTAAACATGCTCAACTTAAATATGCCCAATAGTACCAAATATGCTCAATGCTTGTAGAGTTCAAAGACTTACACGTTAAGACATACCTATCTATGAGGTATTAGACCAGATTGAGCAATATTTACCTTCAGAAAATACCCTTACTCTTTGCAGTTTCCACTTGACAAGCCTCACTCAACAATTGGTTTCTCATAACAAGTGTGGTATAACACACTTATGCATAAATAAATGTATAAAGATACTCCTTAAATTAGCAATCTCCAGTCACTGATAATTTGAAGTTTTTTTCATTTTCTATTTTTTCTATAATAAACACATATAACTAAAATTTTATAACAAAATTTATATGTGGAACACCTACTCTCTCTACATAATATCACTGAGTAGCAGTTTAAAAAGACAAAAAAAAATTCAGTCTCATTATATATTCAAGGTTCTAATTAATGACATGTTTACGTATAAATAATAAGAATAAAATATTGCTCATTCTTTCTTCACATTACTTACCTTATTCACCAAAAGGTAGCAAAAGAGTGCTGAATTCTCCTTTCCAAGAAGTTGGAACCATAGAAGTTGGGAAGGTTTTAGCTCTTTCTGTAACCACACCTTCCCAGTTTCAGTGAGTTCTACTCCGGCCAGCTTAACGAGCAAAACACCACACGGCTCTTCTACAAAGGTCAGGTAGGAAAGAGTTTAGCTTTAACATCATGCTGCAAAAGCAAATCCAAAATTAGCCCCCAAAAAACAACCGAATATATTTATAAACACCCAGACTCTCTAGAGGTAGGTCCATTTATTTCTAGATTTAAGTTTTCTTTTAAAACAATACAAGTATACACATGGAATAATTTCAAAAACTCATTTCAATAAGCTCCAGAATAAGATGTAGAGTTTAACCAATTTACCTTTTTTTTTAAACCTTCCAGATTTATTTCTGTGTATATATACACATAAAGCTACAGATACGTTACTGCACAAAGGGCAAGATCTGCTCGCAGCGAGACAAAAGCAAATTGTCAAGATGGTGGAAAAGAAAGGGCAGTTTATTACAGCTTACTAACAAGGGGGAAGATGGCCAACTAATGTCGGAAAGAACCATCTTAAGGGGGCACAGGGCCGGCCCCGTGGCTTAGCGGTTAAGTGCACACGCTCCGCTGCTGACAGCCCGGGTTCGGATCCCGGGCGCGGACCGACGCACTGCTTCTCCAGCCATGCTGAGGCCGCATTCCACATACAGCAACTAGAAGGATGTGCAGCTATGACATACAACTATCTACTGGGGCTTTGGTGGGAAAATAAATAAATAAATAAAACCTTAAAAAAAGGTGAGGGGCACAAAATCTTACAGCAGTTATATACGCCACTGAGTTATAGGAGAGGGGGTTAGGAATGTTGACCCTTGGGTGTTACAGACTGGTGTTACAGCCACACCAGATCTTTCAGTTTTCACTGATGATGGCTATCAGCATACACTCTCTGTTCAGGGGTCATCACATTCCTAAGGAACTCAAAAGAACAAAGGTATCATCTTATTGAGGCTGGAAGGTACATGCACAGCAGGGGTTGTAAAACCTACAGAGCAGTCAGATCTCCTGAAGGGTGCATATGCAGCTGGGTTAGTTTGTCAGAGGTCATTCAAAGCTAAAAGAGGGTTTTTCTTTTCTACAGTATGTCTTCCCTTATGTCAACCTTGTCTTGAGTTGGTATCAGATATGTAGTTCAATAATATGGGCTTTTACTACCAACAGTAGTGTATAAACTGCTCTTTCACTTAACTTATTGAGGCTTTCTTCCCATCTCAATGAATCTTGATTTACATCAACATTATTTTTTTATACATTTTGTGAAACACTTCCAGACAGAATTTTATCAATTTAAATTTAAAGTAACATAGTATTAAGAAGGTTTGTTTACCCAAACTCCTGATAAAATATTAACCAATTTAACTTTAATAACAGGATTTTATCTCAGAATAAGTTTATAACTTTCCAAAAGGGATAATGGCTGACAAAAAAATGTTAATGTCTCTTTTTAAAAAGGAATTATACATTTAACATACACTGAACTCTTATATAAGTAGTTGAAAGTATGTAGTTAACTTCATCTAACTGCTAGGAAAAAAATAATACTTGATTTCAAGAAGATATCCTAGGCCCCTGATACAATATTATTTGATAAAAGAAAAACAACTTCTTTAGGACCTGGGTTTCTCGAAACCTGTCCTAGAATTTCAGTTAGAGAAGTATCTAAAGATGTACGTAGGAAGATTACACCCTTAGCAAAAACCTGTGATACAGTAAATACACAAATTAGATCAGGGAAAAACATATAATAAAGATCAAATGAATTCAAATTGTTGGTACATAATGAGCTAAGGGAAACCTGAAGATTCTGAGGGTTCTCTTCAATCCTTTAATCTTGCCATCAACACCAACTGTTTTCCAATAAAAGCTTTGAGACCAAGGCTTTGGGGACCAAAAACACGAATCTGATTCAACACTATAAACCTTAAGTATTAATGTCTTAATTCTTCACTCTATAAAAGGTCACCAGATTCCTTTAAAATTAGCATTCCCCATTGAGCATTTAAAGTATGAAGTGGTCAATAAAAATATAAAAACAAATCTTCCGGAACAAATCTAAATAAGGTTTACTTATTTATAAATTATGTATAAAATTAAACTTATGTATAAATAAATTATACATAAAATATTTTCACCTAAACAGTAGACCTTGTTTCTGTGATATGAATCCCTCCATCTTCCCAGCCCTTCAACAAATCTTTTATGCACACATTAAAAAAAAAAAAAGCCCAGTTCATACTGGATGGGATGACACAGACACAGATCCCCTCATAACCTGCTGGCATGAGGTTGAGGTTATGAGGGGATAGCAACATGGGTTCCAGAGGAGTCGCCCAAAAGCATTCTGCGAAAAGGGTAGGACTTGAGTTTTGCAGAACAAACAGAGATGCATCGGAGGAGCTGGGAGTGAGCACGTCAAGTTAGAGGAAGACCATGCAGACCTGAGAGGAATTCTGAAGTAAACCACCTCTAAGGAGGTTGTTATATTTCTGCTCCATCAGATGGGTAGGCAACTTCATGACTAAATATTCTTAAGGTTTTTAGAAAAATAGTACATGAGACAAGACAACTGATGTGTACCCTAGATTTACATAATATTCTAAGTGGATTCATGACAAGTGACGACTTCATAAGACAGGGGCATCACATATGTCAAAAACATTATTTTTTACCATCAGGGATAGAAGAAGCTTTGAATAATTTCCTCACTACACTGCAGGTTTTGTGACTTCCATAGGCTCATATCCATTTTGTTTGCCGCTATATACTGAGACTGTAAGAAGAGCAGACATTCAGTAAATATCTATTGAAGAAATGAAGTGTTCTAAAAGTTTCACTTAGGGCCGGCCCCGTGGCTTAGCGGTTGAGTGCGCGCGCTCCGCTACTGGCGGCCCGGGTTCGGATCCCGGCCATGCTGAGGCCGCGTCCCACATACAGCGACTAGAAGGATGTGCAACTATGACATACAACTATCTATTGGGGCTTTGGGGGAAAAAAATAAATAAATAAAAATTAAAAAAAAAAAAAAAGTTTCACTTCATCAAATTTTTAAGCTGTGTGTGTGTGTGCGCCTCCTCATCATACACACCTCTGATAAGATCATGGAAGGGAGGTATGTCACACAGGTCATAAGGAAGGAGGCTTGTTTGACAGTAGTGGAAACCATAGAACAGAACTGGAAACAGAACACAGGTCCCCACAGCAACACATGTTCTACTAGGCCATGTAGCCTCTACTCTGATGTAGAGTTATCCAAACCAAACCTTTTTGGTTACAATGGCCTCAATTTCGGGGGCCTGGATCTTAGCCCTCCTAAGAACAAAATCAAAGTCCATTTCTATCCTATAAGCCAGGTAGTAAAAACAGTGAAAGGAACGAAAGGAGCTTTCAATTAATAGCTATTTTTAAATGAACAAGATTATGCTCTAGTATCTTATTATATCACTCAAAATGGTGCTGGATAGCAACTTTCTAGTTCTACAACCATTTTACAGGCAAACAGGTTTAACTAATGTAAGTGCAAAATGATCTCTTTCGCAGGAGCAATTTATGTCAGTCACAAAAAAAGTATTAATACTATCATCACATTTGTAGTGGTTAACATCTGTTAAGAAATGTAACACATGCATCCATTTAACTTTTGCATTTCTAAACATGGAATTTCTGGTAGCAGAAATCTGTTTTCTAGCCTTGATCTCATGAGTTATTAGGTACATGGCTACACACATGCCATTTCACCTCTATAGAAAAGATTAAAATAAGTAGGGGAGAAAAGTCAGGTAGGAATTAAGGCTTCCTGAGGCTCCTCTCAGCTCTAACATTTTGATTCTATGTACCAAGTAGATAAACACATTTTTATTGGATGTGAAACCCATTAATAACAACACGCATATATGGCAATTACAGTGCTGTGTGCTGGTCGACTTCCGGGGGCAGATCTGCATTGAGTCTCACCCTCAGAGTTGTGCAGTGTACTCTACTGTTTAGATAGGAGAGTTTAATTACAACAACTGAGACGCTAGAGGACTGGTGAAGTGAAAACCCTGGTTAGAGCTGAAATGGCCAACAAATAAACATCCTAAGGAACCTCTCTTCAGGGAACAGCAGTCATTCAAACTGTGTAAGTTCTGTTTGACATGTTAAACACTGAATCATGTCAGGTATGTTTGGGGGAAAAAAATATCATTCTTACTCCTTTACAGTCATATCTCACTGAACAGAATGATATTCATTCATCTGAGGGTAAAAAAATAAGAACTCTTTTCTTTACAAAATTAAAATACTATTAAGAAAATATTTAAATATAACTAAATTCATTCATTCAACGAATTTTACTAAGTCTCTATTGGCTAACAATTATTTTTCTAGGAACTGTGAATAATGAGATAGATAGGAAAAGGTCCCTGCCCACCAGGGCTCACAGTTTAGTGGGAGGATAGAAACCTAAATACATAATTATAGGAAAATATGTATAAGTACTATAATTGCCGTGTGTATAAACTGCTGTGGGGCATAGTAGAGAGAAGGGCTAATTCTGCTTGGGAGTTAGGGAAAGCTTCACAGAAGAGCTGACATTTGAGCTGGATACTAGAGAATCAACCAGAGTTCAACAGAAGCCAAGGCCTCTGGGCACGAATGGCGCCGAGGGGCAGGTGCCGAGGGGCAGGAGAAGATGTGTGAGCAGCAGGAAGGTCTGTGCAGCCGGGTAGGACAGGAAGCAGGGAGAAACAGGAATCGCAGCAGGAAAGAGCTGGCCTCTGCCCAGCTGGCCAATCTCCTATGTGCCTCTTGCCCCTTTCTTCTGTGTGCCCTAGCCTTATCAGAAGAGCCAAGCTCGATCTCACACACATTCTTCCAAGCTGCCCCCCTCACTAAGCAGCAACTCCTCAGTGACCTTCTCTGACCACTATAGACATGCAGGTCCCCCTTCATACGACCTCCATAATTCTCACCCCAGCACTCTGCTCTTTGTCTTCATAGCTCTTAGGATAATTTTTGTTTTGTTTACTGCCCATCTTCCCCTAGACTATAAGCTCCAGGAGAAAGTGGTCTTGCTTGTTTCACTCTGCACCATACGGCTGGTACAGGGCAAGGGCATAGGTGCTCCGTGTTTGCTGAATGAATGCTGGCATGCCTGAATGAAATATCAAGTGGCTGAATAAAAAAAGCAGGGAAGGGGCCGGCCCGGTGGCGCAAGTGGTTAAGTGCGCTCGCTCTGCTGTGGCGGCCCAGGGTTCACCGGTTCAGATCCCGGGCGCGCACCGAGGCACCACTTGTTAAGCCATGCTGTGGTGGCATCCCATATAAAGTAGAGGAAGATGAGCACAGATGTTAGCCCAGGGCCAGTCTTCCTCAGCAAAAAAGAGGAGGATTGGCATCGGACATTAGCTCAGGGCTGGTCTTCCTCACAAAAAAAAAAAGCAGGAAAGGAAGTAAAGGAAATCCAGAGCCAATTAAATAGGTTCCTTGTACATAAGGCCAAGAGTTCGGACCTTCTCTCACAGACAGTGAAGAGTAATTAAAAATCAAAATGACATTATTTTGCTATTTTATAAATAATTTCTTTTTTTTTTGCTGAGGAAGATTTGCCCTGAGATAACATCTGTTGCCAGTCTTCCTCTATTTTGCACGTGGGTCACTGCCACAGCATGGCTGCCAAGGAGTGGCATAGGTCTGTGCCTGGGAACCGAACCCAGGCTGCTAAAGCGGAGTGTGCCGAACTTAACCACTAGGCCACAGGACCAGCCCCATAAATAACTTCTAATAAAGGAACACTAAAATAGCTATTTAGTCTTATTATTCTTGCACGTTACTTACTTCTCCATGAAGATATAATAGGTAAAGTAATGGGAATATGTTCAATTTCTAAACCATTCTCAGTTATTCGGCGTAATCGTCCACGTAGTTTAACATTCCTTCTTATAAATTCCACTGGAATTTCTGAAGAACTTGTAAATTTTGACGTCTGTTGATTCACAAGGAGAAAAACATGATTTTATTATTATTTTCCTATTAAAATTAAGTATGTCAAATTGTTATCTAAACATTTAACAAGAAAACATAATCACTGAAAAATTTTAATTTGGTTCTTATTAATATTTTAATATGATTTAATCAAAAGTGTTTTTAGCAACCTTATTTAGAAATCTTTAGTCACTATTTTACTATTTCAAGCTACTATATATAGAACATCAAACAGATTCCTAACTTCTAAAAACCTCACATTCTCAAAATATGACACAATTCATCAAAAAGCAGGGAGTATCTATCCGTGCCCGGCACCACACAAATCTGGTTAAACAGTCACTATCCTGTTCTAGAGACAGACAGTCCCTTCATGCAGGTGCTGCTAGGAAACCTAAACAACTGAGTCAAATTAAATTAGAAATCTTAATCAACAAGATTTTCTTTCTTATTTTGTATCCCACAGGAGAAAAAGGCCAACATTAGGAATTTACTTAAATAAATTTACTTAGGTAATGCCCTGGGGTTAGTCAACATTTTATACCTATGTCTTCCATATTAACAATACTATAGGACAAGCTTCATTCATAATCATGGCTAGGTAAGAGCTGCACATACACAGAAAGATAAATTAGCACCCAACTTCCTAAGACAGTAAAGTTGAACTAAACACAAACTTTAAAAAAAAATTTTCCACACAAGAAAAATATTGTAGCAGACAAATCCTGAAGGTGAAACGTTCAATGGGATAAACGACTTGGTTGCTCTAACAAATCAGTGGCTTGAGGGAAAAAAAGGAGGGGCAGGGGAGGGGAGAAAGAATGGATTGTTATAAAATAAATGAGACTTAAGAGATTATAAAATAAATGAGACTTAAGAGATAGAACAAACAAATCAATATATGTACCATTTCAATCGTGATTTGAACAGATCTTCTATTAAAAAGAGACATCATTGAGACAATAAAATACAAAATATATTATATTTTAATATATACTGGGTATTAGATGATACTAGGGGATTACTAATTATATCAGGTGTGATAACATTATAGGACAAACTGACATTATAAGCCTCTTGATGCAATACAAGAGGAAGTTTACAGCATTACCTACTTGTTTACACTACATCTAACCAGGAAACACACAAATCCAGATCGTGGGATAAGACAATAGGACTCTTCAAAATGACAGTGTCATGAAAGACAAAAATTAAAATTAAAGATGAGGTGAGGGTAATATGCTAGATTAAAGAAGACTAAAGAGACGTGACAACTAAACCAATGTGTGATGCTTGACTGAATCTTAGATTGGAAAAAAAACAGCTACAAAGGATATTTTGAGAAAATAAATCTGAACATGAACTGTATTTTAGATATTACTACAAAAATATTAAATTTCTTAGCTGTGATGATATTAATGTGGTTATGTAGGAAAATATCCCTATTCTTAGGAAGTAGACTATGAAGTATTTATAGGACGAGTTTCATGATGTCTGCAACTGGCTTTCAAACGGTTTCATAGAGAGAGGGAGGAAGCACAAAACGTGCCAAAACAACTGATCTAGATGAAAAGTAAGTGAGTGTTACAAGATTTTTTTGAAGAAACGTTGGGGGGGGGGGCGCGGAGATTCTGGATCTGTTGTCAGCATTCATTCAAGAATGCGAAATATGCAGAATGTAAACAAAAAGGAGAAATTCTAAATCAAACCATGAAGACTGAGTCACCTGACAAAAGTTGTTTATGAGCAGTTTGTAGGAAAAAAGAGAAATGTGGGCTAAATGTCCACATAGATGGCTCCCATTATGGTTTTGTGTCATCACTAAGGTGGCACTGATGAATTTATCAGTGTCAATGGAGGGGCACTCTAGGAGGAAGCCATGGGGCTCTCACCTGGATCCTCTCCAGTTTAATATGATCACAAATGACCTGAAGGACAGTGTAAGGCTCAAACACAGCACGGTCTGATGCTTGGGAGAGTATGAATAATGAAAGTCAGAGTTATTATTTAAAAAGATCTTGACAACTAGAACGACAGGCTAAAATGTAAAAGTCTGCCCCTGTACTCCCCAAAACTAATGAAGGATAGAAGACAATAAACTAATAGTAGCATATATAAAAAGATTTAGAGGTTTTAGTTAATTGTGAACTCAAGATGAGTGAAAGAGTGACAAGCCTACCAAAAAAAAAGTGCAAACTCCCTCTCCCCTCCACTCCCCTGCTCCCCCACTCCCCCACAAGGCAACATTATTAGGAGCAGGATACAGAACAAGAGAGGTGAGGGAGAGACTGCTCTACATCAGGCCCTAAGTGGAATAGATTGTGCTGTTCTGGGTATCACATTTCAAAAAAGACTTCAACAAACTGGAACAAAGCCAGAAGAGAAGAAAAAAGATGGTAAAGAGCCTGGAAACCACATCACATGAGAAAAGTATTTTGCATAGGGAAGGCAAGTCCTAGAAGGAGTAAAGAGGGCCATTACAGATGTCTTCAGGGCCGGCCCTGTGGCTTGGTGGTTAAGTGCGCGCGCTGCAATGCTGGTGGCCCGGGTTCGGATCCCGGGTGCGCATTGAGGCACCACTTCTCCGTCCATCCTGAGGCCGAGTCCCACATACAGCAACTAGAAGGATGTGCAGCTATGACATACAACTATCTACTGGGGCTTTGGGGGGAAAAAATAAAATAAATAAAATCTTTAAACAAAACAAAAAAAAAGATGTCTTCAATTCCTAAAAGTCTATCCCTTTTAATTCTGAGGTGTTTTTATCAAAGGGTATACATAAAAAGACACAGCACTGCCCCGACGTTTCAATTTTCAGAAATTATTAAGGAGCTAGGGGAGGAAACTGAAATAGAACCCAATGTTCCTACTCTCAAGGAGCTCACAGTCCGTGTGAAGAACCTAGAAAGGCAGATCGCACTGCATCTTCCTCTCCGGATCAGTAATCCCTCCACAGCACAAAGCTCAGTGCTGCTTTTCTGACACGGCAGGCACTGTCTGGAAGATGAACAATGCACATAAAACCAGAATACAGCTGTACACTGTATTCCTGTAAACACAGGAATAGGTTTAAGATAAAGTGTAAGTGCTAAGGGGTCAAAAGTGGAAAGGACAGACATCTTTAAAGGAAGTGAATCCTGAGCTTGTGATCAACAGCCTGCTCTCTAGAAGAGGCAGAAAGATGATGCCACTAACAAGAATGCTGTCCCTAAGCTTCAGTAATGAAGGACATGTCCTAAAGACAAACAGACAAAGGCTGGAAGCATCGTAGTGAAGAGAAAATAATAAAGGCTTTAAATTCAGGAAGATGTAATTTGAAATCCTGTTCTGCCAGGTACTAGCTGATCTTATGAAAATTATTTCACTTCTTTGAGCATCCATCTCTTCATCTATAAAAATTAGGTATAAGAATACCTATATCACAGAATTATTATAAGTATTCAATGAAATTATGTATTTAAAGTGTTTGGCAGAGCACCAAACTCAATAATCTTTTTTATTTTCTAAATATGAAATTTGGAATTGTCTACCAGTAATTGAAAGAATATAAGAGCTTAATAAACTCTCAGAGGGAGGAAGAAGGGGAGAAAAACAGCAATACAAAAAGAAAGCTGAGGAGGAGCGATCAAGGCAAGCCCTTGGTTGGTTAATGCAACATCCATTCCCAAGCCCCTTCTCCCTTGCCAGCACGCACGGTGAGGGAGGGAAAAGCTAAAAGGCTGCTTTCCCAGCCTTCCTTCCAGCTAGAGATGGCCATGTGACAATAGGATGTAAGCAAAAGTCTACTGAGGCTTCTAGGAAAATTTTTGCTTTCTTGCTAAAAGGAAAAGATGTGGCTGGCATCTTCCTTTTCCCTCTCCTCCTGCCTTGAACATGGATATGCTGTTCGGAGCTACAGCAGCCATTCCATGCCATGAAGAAAGGCCAAGAGAACGATACTGATCTGAACTATGTTACTGAGCCAGGGAAGCAACGCGAGCAGCCTCTTACTAAAAAATAAGATGTTTACTAGGTTAAGCCGCCACTGGTTGGGATTTCTCTCACTTGTAGCCAATCTCCTCCAACAGTTATTTATCCCGTACTGTTCCAATGTTCTTTTTCTAACCTCCTTAGCTTGCTCTTCTCAACACTGGTTAGTTACTATTATCAAAAACCATAAAATCTAACAAAAAAAGGCACCAGAACTAAAGTCTAAAATTAATAACTTCATAACATACTAATATCAACTTGTATAGATCAATAACCAATTTGCATAAATCAATAATATACCTAATACTGTTTAAGCAGGATTGGGATATGAAAGCCAATGAGAATAAAAGTGAAAATAATAAACAGTAACTCACTCTGGTTTTAATATTACCAAAGTGAAGTATTGAACTATATATGAAAACAACAAAGAGCTTAAATTGATCCATAATTAATTCATGAATTTTTTAAGGGCTAACAAGAGAAATGATCCCTCAGCATTATTTTTACCTAAACTCTTAATCAAATCACTTAATATTTTGGCAATTTTGAAACCTTCAAAATACAACGGCCCTGGAACATATAGATTATAAGGTAAAGAAAAAAAGTAGAATGAAAACTAAATTTTCAAAAGTTTCATTCTAAATATATCTATATATACACACAAGCTAAAAATGAACTTACAAAATCATGCAGGTGTTACAAGAAAGAGCCTATTAGATATAAGATTAAAACGAGTTCAAGGCATTTAGAAAAAAAAAGAGGATAAATGTTCTGACTTCGGAGTCAGGGGAAAAAGGCAACAGTTGGAAAGATGTAGAATAGTAGAGTGAGGCTACGTAGCCAACGATAACATGAAACAACAGACAGATAATAAATGTAGGAAATGAGTATACACAGAAGCAATAAAGCCATGCCAGATTGTAACATGACTCTAAAATTACATCCTACGGCAAGAATCAGTTACCTGAAAAAATACCTGTAAACCATGAATTATCAAATGGATTTCAACAATGTCTATTAGTAAAACATTATTGAGAGCCAACCCTGATGGCCTAGTGATTCAAGTTTGGTGCTCTCACTGATGTGGCCGCTGGGGTTCCGTGCCTGGTTGCCCCACCACCTGTCAGTTGCCATGCTGTGGCAAGGCTCACACGGAAGAACTAGAAGGAGTTACAACTAGAATATACAACTATGTACTGGGGCTTTAGCGGGGGAGAAGAAAAAAAATTATTCAAAGGGGCGAAAAAACCCATGCCAACTGAAAACAAATTACTATTATTTTTTTCTATGTGTGAGGAAGATCAGCCCTGTGCTAACATCTGCCAAGCCTTTTTTTTTTTTTTTTTGCTGAGGAAGACTGGCCCTGGGCTAACATGCGTGCCCACCTTCCTCTACTTTGTATGGGGCACCCCCACAGCATGGCTTGATAAGCAGTGCATCCTCATTCCCCGCTCGGATCCACACCTGCGAACCCGGCCTAGAACCCCAGCCACCTAAGGGGAGCACGCGCACTTAACGGCTACGCCACCAGGCCGGCCCCTCACTATTCTTTTTTCACATTGTACATCTTGCTTCATTCATCAAACAACAGATCTTACAGATGGTTGGAAATCAGGGACAGCATAAAGTGTTCAGTGCTAAGGAACATAATTCAACCGTGATCTACATCTAAAACGACTACCGAAAACAGTTTTGAGCTATTCCACAACGTCTGAAACACAAACTTGTGATCATACCATTCTGGCAAACTCAACCCTTTTCAGATTCCTTTTTGAGCATGAAGAAAAGTGACTGGAAACGCGGACTGTACTATCACCTCCCTTAAACCCTGCGGACGTGTTCCTTTCGAACCCAGATCTTACAACAGGCTGCTGTCCTAACGCACCGCTTACGAGTTTCCAGCGTAAACAACCAAACGAGACACCGCGTAGGGTGAACACCGCGCGACGCGATGTTTACACCTGACGCGTCTCCCGCGTCTCTTACCAGGCGCACGCTTCTGAGAAGTACCACCACCCCGGCCACGGCCATCACGGTGCCGACGCTCTTCAGAAAAAGAGGTAACGGTTAACGCTCAGTAACATCGTTCACAACAGAGAAAGCACTCGTTACAGGGAAGAAGAAGGCAGTCCCCGGTTTCCGACGGTCCAAATAAGCCCTTCACCTGAAGGCCCGTTTCCTCCCAACGACTCCCCCCGCCGCCCACCCCGCTCCCCCTTTACCCGACGCGCCCGCGCACCGGAACCCACGGCGGGAACGCCAGCGCTCCGGAGGACACGCCGTCACCAGAGCCCTCAGAAGCGCGCGGGACAGGCGTGGCGAGCCGTCGGGGGCTCGGCGACGTCTGCCACGGAAGTGGACCCAGAGACGTTCGCTTTACACACAGCGGCGCCCGCGCGAGCGCCAGGCTCCTGCGCCTCCCTCGCAGACACGACCCGGCGCGGCAGGCGGCGAGCGCGCCGGCCCGCCCCGCCCCGCTCTCCCCGGCCCGCCGCCCCAGGCCGCGCCCCGACTTCTTCACGTGGGCCCGCAGCCCGTGCGCTCCGCTCCCGCGCAGCAGACCCGGGCGCGGCCCAGGGCCACGTCTACACCCGCGTCCCGGTCTCCGAGTCTCCGGACAGTCGGTCACCCCGCTCCTCGTCTGCGTCCGCCGCGCCCATCCCGGCCCAGCGCCGCGACTACCCCGGCCCAGCGCCGCAACTCCTCGCAGCCGTGGCTGCAGCCGGCCTCAGACCGTCCCCCGCCCCGAGACCGCCCGCCCCCCC